ACTTTGAAACTGTAAAAAGATTGGTGAATTTGATTTATGTCATTTCCATTTAATTCAACTGCATTTCGATCTGTCAAACAAAATATATTCTATATTTATTTTAAAGTATTCGTTTGTGCATATACCTTATTATTGAAATTATACATTTTAGTGAGAGAACGTATGGAACCTATTGTGAAGAACTTTACTTAAAACTTGGACTTTATTTTTTTGCATTGTTTATTTTCTCCATTTCTGCAAAGAGTTCTAGTGCTTTGGTACAGGTACTGGCCTACATATCCTCCCATGGATGTTAGACTTCCTCATGAATTGAATGTTTACCAGGTCAGTACATGCTACCCAACAGGTACTTTCATTTTTGGCGAGTTTAATGTGCTTGGTAAATTGTTTGACTCATTTTTCTTTGTTCAACAGGATATCTTCAAGGAGTTTTACCTAAGCAAGTACAGTGGTAGGCGTTTGATGTGGCAAAATTCATTAGGCCACTGTGTCTTGAAAGCAGAGTTTCCTAAAGGCAAAAAGGAGCTTGCAGTTTCTCTGTTTCAGGTTGGTCATTATGCTTCTGTTTACCGGCATTCGTTTTCGGTATCCAGTAGAATTCCTTAACACTATGTTTGGATGAAGAAATTTAAGATTACTAAAGAATTTTAAAATGACTGAAATTTAAATGACGGAATTTTATTCTATAGAATTTGTGAATTTTCTTGTTTGGGTAACCTAAAAGAACAATGGAATTGAATACGGAATTTGTTGTTTTTAAACTCTCAATCATAGAAATTGGAAAATGACACCTATTTACATGGAATTTAAACTTGGGAATTGGAGGTCCCAAATTCCAAGTTTTTTTTCCATGCAGAAATTCTAAATTTCTATATTTATGAATCCAAACAAGGGAATTGGTGCGTGTCAATTTATAAATTCTGTCTTTAATTCAAATTCCAAGTTTATTTCCCTCATCCAAACAGTGTAAATCTACTTGTCTAAGTGAATGAATTATAATCGTTTGGTTTGCCAGACCGTTGTCTTGATGCTGTTTAATGATGCTGAGAAGCTAAGCCTTGAAGACATTAAGGATTCAACTGGCATTGAGGACAAGGAACTGAGAAGAACTCTGCAGTCCCTTGCATGTGGAAAAGTTCGTGTCCTACAAAAGGTGGGTGCTTGGATAACTTTCCAGATTCATCTGCAAAATCTTTGTCTATAACTTAATTGGAAATGTTGGGTCTTATCCTTATTTTTTGTGTTTTTCCTTTCTCTAATTTGTGCTATAGTTTCCCAAGGGGAGAGACGTGGACGATGGCGATACATTTACGTTCAATGATTCATTTACTGCTCCTCTCTACCGCATAAAGGTAATTTGATTTGCTTGTGCTTAGTGCAAAGTAACAGTTATCAAAAGGTCTCAAGCTCCATGTGCACAAAGGCTTGTATAAGTGTGAGAATTTGGATAGCTGAAAGTATTGTCCTGTCGGTTTTCGCCTGTGCTTTAAACCACTCAGGTTCACTGTAGTTTTGGACCACTCCCATGATGTTGCTTACATTATTTTGACGGATGCAGGTGAATGCGATCCAAATGAAGGAAACAGTGGAGGAGAACACGAGCACCACTGAAAGAGTATTTCAAGACCGCCAATATCAGGTCAGCCTTCTCTCTGTGTTCCAGATTTTTCCTATTACGCACGTTGGTTGCATCCCAAATTTCAAATAGATTGTTGTGAACGGTCTGATTGAAAATTGTCTCGCAGGTTGATGCTGCAATTGTACGGATAATGAAAACTAGGAAGGTGCTGAGTCACACTCTTCTGATAACAGAACTGTTCCAACAGGTAAGTAAAAAGTCGTTTGATTTCTTATTCAAATCCATTCATTTATACAAATCAGCATTTACGGGCCTGGAAATAAGTAACGAGCAAGGAAAAATGTTGAGGGAGATTGTGTGGTGTTGGTGTTTGTTGTGGTGAGCAGCTTAAATTTCCGATAAAGCCGGCAGATTTGAAGAAAAGGATTGAAAGCCTGATTGACCGGGAGTACCTAGAACGGGACAAGAACAACCCGCAAATTTACAACTACCTAGCATAATAAAGGAAATGGAACCCAGCAGATATTGAAGTTTTCTCCTCTGTAAATGACACGGGAAAGACGACGACTTCTGTCCTGGGGAGGGAAGAAGGCATGATGTCCTGTCCGGTCCGGTCCCCTTCCCTCGTCTAATTTATTATGTACAGCGACTTGTAGTTTTTATCTTCTTTTTTTCCCTAAATTTTTGTACTTTGATTGTAAAAATATTTAGTCTCCGTTTTTCACATCTCCTGTTCCTGCAAAAAAGAGTCGACTACTTGAATGAATTGCTGTGAACAAAGAAAAAAAACAAAGGAATTTTCTTTATCTTCTCTTGCGGCGCCGGCGGCGTCTTCTCTCTGTGTTGTCACGGGGCCAAAAGCTTTCCAAAAACTCATGCAAGACATATAAAAAATGTTTGATGTCTGAAGGAAATTCGTTTCAGGCTGTGTGTCTTTTTCGACAAACGATAACGTTAATGGACTAGGTGCACTAGGTGTTAGGGAAGAAGGGAATCGGTGAGGATCGAACTTGTACTGTGATATACATGGGTATGGATGCTTTTTGTTGCTGCAGTAGAGCGTTGATTTCTTCTGCCATTGCGGTAAAACGTTATCTGTCCTGGCTGTAATGGTTTATATAACAAACTGTGAGGAATGAATGGTAGTGCTTCGATGTTTTAATCTCCACCATCGGTTTTAAATGCAACGGTGGTGATTATAATCTCCCTCGTGTAGAGAACGAGATTACAGTTTTATAAAATTCTTTTCGTTCCACGTGATAAATAACCACGAGATATTGTACTAATTTACCCTTAAAAAATTTAATTGAGTTTCAGAAATAATTATTAATAATAATAACAAAATACAAGAAAAAATTGAAAAGTAAGTTAACGGTGTATGGTCGGAAGAGGAAAAGGAAAACTATCAGACGGCCTTGACGCCATCGGAATGTGAAGAAGCTGCGATGGCCGCAGCGGCCTTGGGATCCTCCGCCTCGAGATCCACTGCGATGGTATTGACGGCGGGAGGGTTGAGAGGGGCGCGGATGTCGGAGGAGACGACGGCGTCGTCTGGATCGTAGTCGGGATTGAGGTTGCGATCGATGGCTTCGCGGCCCTGTTCGAGGCAGGGCTTGCAGGCAATCTCGATGGCGATCCAACCGAGAACCACTCCCACTATCGCAATCACTGAGGTCGTTATTGCCCCCATTTTCTTCTTCTTCTTCCTTCTCCGCGGTTCTGATTCGTCGATTCTGGGGTTTCACCCTCGAGTCTCAACTCACAACGGTGTCGTTTTGTTCACTACGCCCACGAAGAGTATATTTGATAAAGCTACCTCGCTGGGCTACACTCAGCACCACCTAACCCTCGTCTAAGCCCATTTAGTAAGGCCTCCATAGGAAATGACGTGAACATGTTTTTTTTTTTTTTTTTTTTAGGTAAAAGACGTTAAGTTAGTTGGTTAGGTCAGTGTTCATTTTTAGAAACCGAGTTCGAATCATTCATCAAAATAAAAGAGGCGATCCTAGTCTTATTCTTTTTCGCATTGAAAAACGGTCTCTATGCACCTAAAAATCATCTGCGAAAATCATTTATGTGTGCTCGAAAATAGTGTACATATGCTTGAAAATGATCTCGACATCCAGAAGGGAATTAATTTTCGCATGCGCATTTTCTCCTTCTAAATACTTTCCACTCATCTATGTCTCGTAATTCTCTTTTGATTTGTTTACCCCAAAATACAAGCGTGTATGGGTAAAAAGTGTGCATAATTCACTTCTCAAAAATCCCTATCCACCCTAGCTTGCTCCTGGGGTAAGCTAGTGCACAGTAAAAATTTAGGAAAGGAAAGAACCATTTACAGTTTACTATTTTTTTTACCGTTGAGGTACCATTCACACTCTGTTTTCAGTAACATAGGCACTTTGTTTCACAATAGCCCCCACAAATTACATCCCGTTTTTGAAGATTCTAAGGTACAAAATGTATGATATCCATTGCTCAATGTGCACTAAAAAAGTGTAGAATATTTAACAGGTAAATCTGAGTCACTTAAAAGACAATGTATACTATACAATGATGTATAGTAGGACTCTCGAGTTTCTTCTACTTCTCTGTTTTTAGTAAATAACCGACATTCACAAAACGTACCTATCCCTTGTTTCATACGCCTTTTCCTCTCTCTCATCACATGAGTAGTCACGTGATGAGAGAGAGATAAAGAGAGGCAACATAAAGAGAGGCGTATAAAACAAGGGATATAAAAGGTTCTTCCCTCACGGGACTCTTCGACTCCAAGCTGTACGTTAACTGGTTTCCACCAGCTGTTCCTCTCCGTTTTGGTGTCCTTTTCAACCCCAAATCCAGCTCTTCTCAACCACAAATGCCACAAATGCTCCATTAACTCCCAGTTATTGAACAATCTGCAACTTAGTTAAGGGCATGGTCCTCTCGAAGTTTGGTTCAAGGACGGCTATACCTACCTTCACCCTTTTCTTCGACGCTCACGCAGCTTCTTTAGCAATCCAGATGCCAATACCGTTAACTGTAAAGCGCTGAAATATCCGATGAAGATGCCACGAAAGCAACTTGTCCAAGGGTTTACTAAAACTGCATACGAAAACAGTCGCAAACCTAAGAAAGTCATGGAGGGATTACGTAAACCTGGTGTTTAGTTTGGAGGAATCTAAGCAAACCATGTGACCACAATAAGGAGCTAAAGTAGCTAGCTCAGTCGAACCCTATGGTCACGGGCAAGATGCAGTTAAGGAGAGATGACAAACATTCTGCATTAGTAAGAGGAGCAGCGTATTTAAATTAATCTCGCGATAAACAGTATATCAAGTTCATCCGAAAACATGGGGATAATATCAGGGGTATCCAAGCAAGAGTAAAATAGTATACGCAACACACAAAGCGAAATCAAGGTAAGAGAGGAAGAGAAAACAAACGATGAACAGCCATATAAACAGAGGAAAAACAACCGTATACTTGAATACATTCCAATAACACAAAACCATTTTACGCGTCCATTAGGTATTTATAGCTACGGTATTTTATATAACCATACAAAGTGGCAGAACATGAAATGAAAGATTGACAAGCTAAGCAAACAGGACCTGCGAACTTGAGGGCGTCAAGTCGGAGAAACAATCCGGTGCATCAACCACATTCCATCGAACACCAAAGCTCCACTTCTTCTCGCAAGTTCCTTTACGGCTAACCCTTGAGATTTGACCCACAGCAACATGAAGGTTCTTGCCCACAACATATATCATGCAATCACAGGCATTGACAGCAAAGGGTTTACAGATCTGCTCTGGCAAAGGGGGCCCTTCTATTGGTTCCCAGGAATCAGTATCGGCATCATAAACCTTAAGCTTCATCCTTTCAAGCTCCGAGACCACAAACAAATGGCCATAAATCACCACACTTGAACCTGTCCAGCCTTCTCTCAGTCCGACAGCCATGCTCTCCCAATTATTAGTTCTCGGATCATAAACCTGACCCCTGGGAGAGACAAAGAAAGGCCACAACCAGCCTTCTGTAACAAGAAGCTTTCCGTTGAGAACTGCTGCATCATAAGAGGCCATATTTGCTCCCATGCTAGCTATGGGATGCCAACTCCCTTTAACGGGGTCCAAAACCTCGGCTGAGTCAAGCTCAAAAAGATCTGAGCTGTTTCCTCCAGCCACATAAATCTTCCCATCAATAACTCCACTTGCAAAAAAAGACCTCGCACTTATCATCTGATTTATCACAGTCCACCGATTCTTCTGAACTTCATATTTCAGGACCAAGTCAAGCGGACAGTCCACGTCAGAGACCATACCACCACAAATAAAGAGAGTTCCTTCTTGGGGCATCGATACACATCTGAATCCATGGGGAAAAACTTTGTCTCTGCAAGGCATGGCAGGGATAGTGTGCCAAGAGAAATTAGTGAGATCAAGAACCTGCCATTGAATCCTTCCAGTGCACTTGTGAAAGGCAAAGACAAAAAGCCAAGGGACTTTGAAGCCTAGTTCTTTTCTTCGAGTAAAAAACCGCTCTTTACTACCAAACATTAGATGCCAACGCTTGCAGACAGCCTTGCTTGCTGTGTGGCCTTCGACTGGAACCCGAAGGAGACAGTTAAGTGCAACATCATCAGGAAGGCCAGGAATGAGGGGGGTTTCCTCAAGAGACAGCTCTAACTCCGGGGAAGGATTCAACAACGAAGACTGGATAACCGCTAATCTAAACTTCGGGGATAATGCAATTTGAGAATCCCCCAGCTTGTGTACCGGCGCCTGTTGGGAGGACAGTCTAACCCGTTGCATCCTTTCCCCTTTTGAGCAAAATATACAAAACCCTTGCTTTAAATGCAACTTGGTTCCTATATTTCGTCTCCGATAATCTTACTAAGAACAGCACTTATCTTCCACAATCCACAGGTTTTGTGCAAACAAAGCAATCCCAATATCCAAATTTACAGAAGCAAAGCCCTTTGCATGATCACAATCTAAACATCCAAACTTCTACTCACATTTATGAACAAAAAATCATGAACTTTTCCTCTCTATATACACCACAGCCACTGTAGCCAATCAGAACACCAAATTCAGAACCAAAAGCTACGAAATTTCAACCCACTGAATAAAAAAACAGAAAACACCCAAAATTCACAATCACTCATAAAACAAAAGTACCTCAAAAAGCAGCTCAAAATCCAATCTTTTATCCTTTAATGCAAACAAATCCAACCGAAGACAAAAACCCAGTTCGGAAATCACACAGAATCAAACTTTCTGTGACCCTTTCAGCTTCAACATTCAGCAAACAGTAAACCCAGAAGAACGCAAACAAGCTGTACAGCTTGTGAACAAAAGCAGCATAGGAGAGAGAAAGAAGGAAGAGATAGAAAGTGGTAAGGGGAACAATAACTTACAACTAGAAAAGGGTGGAAAGATTGTTATACAAAGATGGTGACTTGATGAGAATTTAGAGAGTTTTTTTTTTCTTTTTTTTTTCTTTTTTTTGCATTTGCAAGGTAGAGAAGGTGACCCATCAGCCTGTTCTTCCTCTTTTATTACGTGGCAAACAAGGTCTAAAATATCGATGATATCGGAAATATCGGTAGTCCAAAAACATGGAAATTTTGAAGGAAATATCGGAATATTATCGATATCGATAAAAATTGAATAAAAACCACATAAATTGTAAGAAAAACTTGAAATTTTTTATTAAACTTTGAAAGATGTTTATTTAATTAATTATCTATTAGTTTATCACAAAAAATTGGAAAGAAATGCATTGCATGATGGATTTAACTGATTTAAGTTGATTATATAGCGAGCTGGCAAAACATTGTGAGTGTAGAAAATATGTAGTAATTAATGAAAGAAGTTTAAACAAACCATAATCATTTATATATAATGAATTAGTACAATATTTTACATTTTATACATTGTATGGTAAGATACATGAGTGACTTAATACTATATAGAGTTCCTATTGAGATCTAAAATATCGATGATATCGAAAATATCTGTGGTCCAAAAACACGAAAATTTCGATGAAAATATTGGGATAATATCGATATTTTAGACCTTGATGTCAAACATGGTTCTGTGATTCTGGATTAAGTAATAATTACGCGCCAAATCAGCGAGGTAATTACAGATGGGAGTGAAAAGATGTGGAATTCTTTTGATAGAAGTTGGAGAGTGATTTGCACGCTCCTTAATGAAAGTGGAGTAAGTTGCAAACTCACTCTTAGAATATTGAAAAGGAGATTGACTACAAAATAAGATTAAGATTAAGATTAAGATTAAGATAAATGATAAAACCCTTGTTAATGCGTGTTTTTAAGCTCGAAATGTTGTGTTTGATAGATAAGTTTGTTTTAAGTTCCAATTCTAGAAGCTTGCATGTTTATTTTAACTCTACTTTTCTTTGCAGTTATTTGATTTTCTTTTTGTTTCCGAACATTTGACTTAACATAATCATAAAGCATAATTATCTTTAGGGCTTGAACATTTCAGTTAGAGTAAATTGTAGTAATGATTCCTCAACTTTAATTAAATTGGAGCAATGATCTCTCAACTAAAAATTCATTATCATTGGTCCCTCAACTTATCAAAATGTATAGCTATAGTCATTTTCATCAATTTCGTCAAAATTTTGTCAAAATAAGTTATGTTGGAATAAGCATTTATATAATTAGAATCTCTCAACCCATCAAAGTATGTGATTATGGTCATTTTCGTCAACTACATTAAATTTTTTGTCAAAACGAGTTATGTTGGAATGACCATTGCTACAATTGGGTTAAAGTTAAGGAACTATTTCTCCAGTTGAAGTAAAGTTGAGGGACCAATGGTAATGAATTTTTAGTTGAGGGACCATTACTCCAATTGAGTTAAAGTTAAGGGATCATGACTACAATTTAGTCTTTCAGTTAGATTGAGCAACAAATAAATGTTATCGTATATCTTGCTAATTAACAAATAAGCGAGAACGAGTGTGTTATGTAATTTTGGACGAAGACCTATTAGAATCAAAAGACCCATTAGAATCAAAGTTATGACATCATATTAGACCTATTATTAAAGTTTGAGGTAAAATCAGCTCAAAATAGCTCGAATTTGCATTTATGTGTTAAATTACTAATACATGCATAAAATATATGGCCCTAAAATAAAATAGAATAAGTTCTCAACTTTAAATCTTATAAAGTCCCACATATTATTCTCCTTTACTAGGAAGATAAGAATTTTGCTGTGATTAAACCTTGGAGGTACCACAACGCTAAAGGAGAAAGATAACATTATTCTCTTTTAACAAAACGAGAAAGAAAGGGAACCATCACATAGAGGCTAAGTGGTCAGGGTGAACTTCAAGTTCGTATTCCACATGACTGGTTTGAGTTTGATTCTTACTACTCGTGAATCACATGATGATGGCTAGAGAAAGACTAAAATGTTTCTTTGAATCTAAAGGTTTAGTGTGGGTGTGTGTGACCGAGGAAGAAGTCAGTAAAGGATTTTTTTTTTTTGAATTTTTTTTTAACCCCTTCTCAAAAAAAAAAAAAATCCACGTGGATCCCCCCTAATGACACGTGGTGCCCATTCATTGTCCACATAAACGCCATATCATCAGTTAATGACAGACTTAACAATTTGATTAACAGATGTATGAGACTGTCCTCAAATTAACACTTTAGGTATGACTCTGAGACGAAAAAAATTTGATGTACTAAATGTTGAAAACCATGAAACATGAGAGTAGTAAACTGATATTTACCCTAAATAAAAGGTTAGGAGTATCAAATAAGTTTGTGATAAATAAATTTAGAGTTACGTTTAGTCTTTTTTTTCCTTAAAAGAGATACGTTTAGTCTTTTTACTCTTTAAAGATGATTGAAAACGAAAGAAAGACAAGTGGGAATCAAACCGAATTTTATTTTATTTTTTGGGAAAAATGAGACACTACTTTCCCATCTTCATGTTTTATTTTGCCATCTGAACTTTCTGTTTAGTTCTAAAATTGTTTTGCGCTTTTAATTCATGCCAATGTGTCTCGACGATGGTTTGTTCAGTTACATCGTTAAATTGATGGTCCTTTTTGTTCATTTATTCTTACTTTTTTCTCATCACTTAGTTATCAAAATTCCAAGTGTGTATTAAATTACGTTGTAAATTTACTTTCTTAAAAGTTGTCACGCGCACTGCATTTGATAAAATTAGCGAAAAATTGTAACAAAATTGAGGTGGAGGTGTTGGTTTGTGACGGAAATTGAGAGTTTATGGAAACTCAAAACCAAATTGAAAGTTCAAAAGTAAAGCGAAACAAGTTCCTCAATTCATGGAGCATTGCTAGATTTTTTTCTTTTAATTTTGGATAGTGCTATTCAGTATTCACACCCCTTTATTAATTTTATCTTATTCATTTCATTCAATCAGTCAACCGAAAATTAAGATGAGTCAACCGAAAATTAAGATGAGTGTGAGAGGTAAAAGTAAGTGTCTAAATAACACCACACTTTATTTTGAGGTGTGTAGTTTGTATTGATGGGTTGGGTTTGGTCCAAATCACATAACCATCACACAATCAATGAGGGTATGAGATGGAGGGCTAATGGCAATGCAATGAGCATTGCTTTTTTGACTCCCAATCCCTTTGAAGTCCAACCAATTCACGTCACTGCATTTGTTGTTTGGAGGCATGTCATTTTTCATCCTCCTACAATGCAATTCCTATGATTCCTAATCCTCCTTGCTGCATCGGATACTTTCTTTGCAAAACAGACCCAAGTTTGCAGACATTTCCAAGAAAAACACATGTTGGGTTTGCTGATTTTGGAAAGATAACATAGGCAGATAGAAACTGTCACCAAACCAAACCACATTGTTAATAATCTGGTTATGGTAAAAAAAAGAACAAGTAACTATCGAAGCAACCGGAGCCTCTCGTTAGTGAGAAAAACTTGGCTATCGTGGGTTCAAACACTCACGTTTTCTGTCTCTCATCACCTGACATGTCGTGTGATGAGAGAGATGGGGGGAGAGAGAGAGAGAGAGCAAAATTTCCTCCCACCCAATTCTCGCCATACTCAGCCGCATAGGATAAATTTCCAAAAAGAAGCTATCGCTTGTCTTGACAGAAGACTGCAACTGCTCATTAACATCCTTGATCATGATCTGCAATCTGCGGATAAACAGAACAACCTCCAGACGACAAAGAAAGAAAAAGAAATGAAGCAGTAAGATTCCTGCAACGATTCCATAAAAAAAATGCAATGAAGATCTAAACACGATTCTTTACAGGGGAAAAACAGCAATAAGAAAGCTTACGTGGTCGAACTTAGACTCCCAAATAAGTGTTATAGCTCCATTTGCTATCCCATCTGCCACTGCATTCTTCTCTCTATAAACATGCAGTAATGTGCAGTGTTCAAATTGCTGCATAAAAAAAATCTGCACTTCAAAAGGGGTGACAGCGGAAGCATTACCTTGCTTCATCATTTTTAGAATAATAGCGAAGTCCATCTGAATACATCTTTTAGTGCTTTTCTTCTAAATTGGAAACTGCAAGCCAAAATGTATCCCCAGATTTCTGCTTCAATATCCCCTGACAAGATTGGATTAAATAACTTTCCCTGCTCCAAATCCACCAGATGCCATTCTCCTCGGCGCATCAACATTCATATTCTGACATCCCATGTCAGGAGGCTCCCATGCCAGAAAGACCTGTACTTCCAATTGGTTTTTGAGAACAGGGGAAGTGGCGTCCAGCCAACCTCCGACAGATACCAACATGTGCAGATAAACAGGCTACTCCCTTCAAGACTATCACACTACAAGCATACAGGCCTTATAATCTGAATAAAAGGAGTAACATACTGGTTTGCCACTCTGATGTCTCCCAAATGGTTTGAGCTTTGCTGCAATCTCTCAATATGAAATATAGATCAATGGGCCAATGCCGTAGTTCGCATACAGCAATTTTCCCACAGAAGCTCCAGCAAGGGCCAGGCCATTGGTCCCCTTCAAAGAACAGGCCATATGCAGACACTAAAGTGAACATTTCAAGTGTCCCCAATAGATGCATATCACTGACACGTCCAATTAAACCAGCAGGATCACCGGTAATAGTCGCACCAAATTCTCTGCGGGCATGTAACTGCAAAATGTTTAAGAATTAAAAATAACAAGCATTTCTGAGAGTGCAAGGACCATATGTCACTGACCAATAATCCAAGATGATCTTAAGGCTTAAGCAAGTTTGAGTGGATTGGTTACTCCGCCAGACTTATAAACCAAAACAGAAGGTGCAGACTATAGTTGGTAATAAAGTAAAGAGGCACACCACAATATCTCAGTCTATTTCCTAAACACAATACATTTACTTCGAGGATGAAAAAAAAAGAGAATAGTGCAGGTATAGAATGAGTAAAAATATGAAATCATTAATAAAAATAAAAAATTAAGATTTCTTTTCATTTTAGAGAGGGAGAGGGAGAGCTCATGTTCTTCCATCAAGCCCATATTTATTTATAAATATTCACTACTTACAAATACATTGAATAGATAAAGCAACAAATTAGAGATTGATCTAGACTTATCTGGCCTTCCAATTTAACATAAAAGTTATTTGTGACCCAAAAAAGGAGTTTTCATCTTTAGAAAGCTCTTCCGAGGCTGATCGGTTCCATGATCACTTTGAGTTTTGTAATATAGCTGAAGCAAAGCTACAGCTGTAGCAAAAGATGAAGATCTGTTTGGCTTTCCTCTTTCGCATTAGAAGCTATTCCTGACCCAGAAAGGCAGTTCTCTGAATCTTTAAAAAGAAGAAGCTCTCTCTCCAGAGGCTTTTCTCTTTCCATTGACAGTGAATTCATGATCTCAGCGCTTCCTCCTCCTCCACCAAACCAGTGTCCGTTACCTCCTACAGAGTTTAAGGCAGTTTTGTCTTATACAGACCAATTTCACCTTGGCCTGAAGATTGTCAGAGATGTCATGTGGAGGCTTTTCTGTTTCCATTGACGACTCAGAGGTTGATCTTAGGCCTTTTTATTGTATTCATCATCTCAGCACTTCCTCTGGCTTCGCATAAGGACCACCGCTTCCTTTTCTCAGAGGTTAAGACAGTCTCTGTCTTACACCGACCAAATTCACCTTGGCCAGAAGATTGACTGGGATGTGGAGGCAAGGAACCACCAGTATGAGGTTCCTCGAAGCCAAGTGACTGATTTGAGCCGAGACCTGAATCAAGATCAGTTACAGCTTTCACAAGATATGAAATCATACCATCAATGTGGGCTTGAAGGTATGGCATACCATCCGTAAAAGATTGAGATCGATCCTTATTAAGCTCACAAACTCCATTTATGACATAAGAGAATAATGGGCTGGAAGGGACACCAGTTGGTACTGCGCTACCAGAGGAAGCAACCATAAAGGATAAAGGTTTAGAATCTGGGATTTCATCATAGGCACTGCTAGATGAAAATTTGGAGGCATGGCGCTTGTATTGGTCTCATAGGCCTTGCTCACAAACCTCACATTCACCCGGCTATTTTGATTTGAGTAGAATCTCATGGAGAAATTCAAAGGAGAGGTTAACTTACTGATGAGATTACTTGGATTGCTCCCAGCAACTCCAGAAAAAAATTTCAGGGTGGCGCATGCTGAAAGGAGGAGCATCATAAGTCATATTTGTCGAGTTATTGAAAAGGCTAGCATAAATCTAGCTCCTTTTTGCGTTGATCTCTTCCTTATGAACCCTAAGATGGCCCAAATGGCCCCCTAGAGCCTGACGATTTTGTAATACCCTTTTGCAATAGAAGCAGTGGACACCCACATGTTTCTTTGCCTTTCTTTCTTAGGAGTTAAAAAGGAAAGTCATTCTTGAAGTGAAAACGACGACCCTTAACAAGAGCTTTGAGAAGAAGAACATAAAACTAGCAGGAGCAAAAACAATGAAGGGGTAAGGAAGATGTCTTGCTTCTTTGCCATGTTATATCTATGTGTGGGGATGCTACAAAACCTACTGATAAATTAAAATATAAACGACAATTCTCATAAAACTCATTTTAGAAAAGAAGACACGTTACACAAATACAACCACAACAGTTGCCACATAAAGCTCATGCAGAGGAAACTTTAAATCAATCTTATCGGCAAGAATTTGCATAGAGAGCTCATATTGCTTAAGAAAAAAAAATGTGCATGGAAGATGAACACATTGCAGAACAAATGCCAAAGAACTATAATTAATACACATTCTTATAACATGGTCATGAAACATGTCAGTATCGCTTTTGCATCAGTTAAGGGGTAGTATAGGAAATTTCATCTCGCAGCAAAATATAGGTATTGGCGTAAACTCACATAAGATATGGTCTTCACCATGACATGAGTCACCTTTTTCAATTTTGTATTTTTCTGCAAGATACAAAATCCAATACTAACTGATGTAAACAGTGACAGGTTGTTTCATGACACCCTATTATAGAACGTGTAATAATTATATTTCTATTATGTTTTCAACGTGTTCACTGTCCATGCAATTTATTTTTCTTAAGCATTAATAACTCTCTTTCATGCAGATTCTTACCGATAAGGTACTTTTCTCCACTATACAACCCTATTCAATAACAGAAATAAATTTGTTATTTGTTGCAATAACCTCGTTGCTTAGTAATCATGTAAGGTAAATAAGGTAATTATATGCATTGAATAGATAAAGCTACGGATTAGAGATCGATCTTCTCTGCTTACAAATAAATTGAATAGATAAAGCTACAAATTAGAGATCGATCTAGAGTCTAGACTTACTTGGCCTTCCTATAACGCACAAAAGCTATTTGTGACCTAGAAAAGGAGTTTTCATCTTTAGAAAGCTCTTCCTGAGGCTTATCTGTTCCATGGTCACTTAGAGTTTTGTAATATAGATACAAAGCTACAGATGTAGAAAAAGATCGAGATTTGTTTGGCTTTCCTCTTTCGCATTAAAAGCTATTCCTGTCCCAGAAAAGCAGTTCTCTGAATCTTTAAAAAGAAGAAGCTCTCTCTTTGAAGCTTCTCTCTTTCCATTAACGATGAATTTATGATCTCATCACTTCCTCCTCCTCCACCAAAGCAGTGTCTGTTACCTCTTACAGAGTTCAAGGCAGATTGTTTCTTATACAAACGATGTGAATTCATGATCTCACCTTGGCCTAAAGATTGAAAGAGATGCGGACGCTTATCCGTTTCAAATGACAACTCAGAGTTGATCTTAGGCTTTTTTAGTAAATTCATCATCTTAGAAGTTCTTCTGGCTTCACGTAAGGAGCACCACTTCCTTTACTCAGAGGTTAAGACAGTCTCTGTCTTACACCAACCGATTTCACCTTGGCCAAAAGGTTGACTGGGATGTGGAGGCAAGGAACCACCAGTATGAGGTTCCTTGAAGCCAGGTGACTGATCTGAGCTAAAACCTGAATCAAGATTAGTTACAGCTTTCACAAGATATGAAATCATACCATCGATGCAGGCCTAAAGGTATGGTGTACCATCCGTAAAAGATTGGAATTGATCCTTATTAAGCTCACAAACTCCATTTATGACAAAAGAGAATAACCAATCCATTTGTGTAACGTATCTTCTTTTCTTAAATGAGTTTTATGAGAACTGCCGTTTTCCGAATATTTTTATTTATCAATAGGTTTTGTATCATCCCGCACATGGATATAACAGAGGAAAAAAGCAAGGTATCTTCCTCACCATTTCATTGTTTTTGCTCCTACTAATTTTTATCTTCTTCTCAAAACTCTTGTTCAGGGGCGCCATTTTCACTTCAACAATGAATTTCCTTTTAACCCCTTAGAAAGGAAAGGCAAAGAAATATGTAGGTGTTCACAGCTTCTATTGCAAAAGGGTGAATATGACAAAAAAGTTGTCACATAAAGCTTATGCAGTGGAAACTTTAAATCAATCTTATCGGAAAGAATTTGCATGGAGGGCTCATACTGCTTGAGAAAAAAATTTGCATGGACAACGAACACTTTGCCAAAATGGTCATGAAACATGTCAATACCGCTTTTGCATCAGTTACGAAGTAGTATTGGAAATTTCATCTCGCAGAAAAATAGGGTATTGGCGTAAACTCACATAATGGTCTTGACTATGACATTGAGTCACCTTTCTTAATTCTGTATTTTTTTGCGAGATAAAAAATCCAATACTAAATGATGCAAAAGCGGCAATGATAGATTGTTTCATGACACCCTATTATAGAATGTGTAATAATTGAGTTCTATTACATTTGCTCTTCAACGTGTTTGCCGCTCATGCAATTTTATTTTTCTTAAGCATTAATGACTCTCTTTGATGCAGATTCTTGCCGATAAGATTGATTTAAAGTTTTACTGCATAACCTTTACGTGATAACTTTTTTTTATCCTATTAAGCATTAATGGCTCTCCTAGATCAATCTCTATATTTGTAGTTATCTATTCATTGTATTTGATATTTATATAGACATAGGGTTTGATAAAAAAGAAATCTTCATTTTTTTCTTTTCATTAACGTCTTCATATTTTTATTAATTCTATATTTGCATTTTCAGTTGTCTACCAATGAATTTATTTCTTCCTTTTTCTTAAATCTCTTTTCTTCATTAAATTTATTATAATTTTAAAAAAAAATGTTAGATTACAATGAACAATGCAATTAGAAGTGTATTATCAAGTGGGTTGCGTTATGTTAAGGAATCAAGGGTTTGAGGACAAAACTAAATGTAAAAGCTTACAACAAAATTACACAATTGGAAAAGATGTCCATAAAGAAAACTCAAAAGAGAATCAGCCAGACAACAACTAAAATCCCCCCGCTATGGAAACTCAGAAAGCTAACTGATAGTAGCTTTCCAATCAAGCCAAACTACGGAAAAGGACAAATCTTTAAAATCTACAGAAACCGACACTCGCAATGAAGACCATACTCTTTAAACAAAACAAAAAACGTAAACTTAAAATTCAAAACCACACATACCTTTGCTTCACCTGTTGCTGAAGCCATAAACCACCTTGTTTCACGCCATTTATCACTCCTGGAACATTAAGCCAAAATAACATCATTTTCACATGAATGGTAAGCATCATACCTAGTTTTTGCACAGCTTAAGGGTACGAATATACCTATCCTTTTGCGCCTAAATGACATACAAAGGATGTCAAAATCTTACCCAAAACCATAACAAGCCCAAGCAGTTGGGTTTTGAGTAGTTCTCTTCAACATCATTGATGATGTAAAACAGAAAAAGACAAAATAAAAAATAAACTGGAAACACCTTTCAAAATGCTGAGCTTGAACCATTTTGAGTTGGACTCAAATTTTTTTTTCAGTAGTCTTTTCAAAACCATTTTGAATGTTCAAATGTTTTCAGGTACTACACTTGAAATCTTTTCCTATAGGCTCAGAAGGCTTCAAGTAAAGTAATTCAAAACCATGTTTACATTTTTTTTTTTTTGTTTCATCTACATTACTTGAAGATATGTCGAGCTAGTTTCAAAGCTTAATAAAAAGTGTCGATGAAAACATGAAAAGTTTACAACAGTTGAAAAGACGATAATGCATTCTCTAGATAATAAATGACTACAGCAACTTTAGGCCTATTCGTGTCCCAATTCTAGGTAGCAAACTCACTTTCAAAATTGAGATGAAGAGTAATAGCGTTGTTGCAGGTTTTACGGTAATGACCAGTTGAGCCACATTTTCCACAATTCCTTGTAGACAGTTCTTCTCCATGAGACTTTTTTTTTTGGTTGAGATGAAATTCTTTCCTTCTTGCACCTTTCGCATGACCTCCATTTAGAAGAAAGTTCTTGTGGTCATACCCTAATATCTTTCAATGCACATTCAAAAACCCTCCTAGCCGTCGATAACTTATATCCACTCCAAGATCTTTCAGCACATCCTCAGTGATATTTTTCGGTTTGCATTGGCACAAAACACGCTTGTACTTTGACTTTACAAACTCACCAATGAGAGAGCTGCTTGCTTGTGGTTGACTGCCATTTTTAGCATCTAATGAACTGCCATTTTTAGCATCGGATGAACAAGAGTGGCGGCTATCATATTTTGTTGTCATAAAATAATCAGTCTCGCGACTTGGCCGCATGGACTTTCCTTATGCAGTTGTCATTCACGCAGTTCAACAATTCTCCAATTTGATTGGACATGTAAGTGATTAAAAGGCTCTGAATACCAATCTGGGCCAGGATCGGACTGGTCAGTGGCCGAACAAAACCGGAAACACACAAAAGAACACACTTTTAGACAAGGTATGATTTGCAGATGAATAAGTTGTTAACTGGGATTACAATGTTGCGCATAGATAAATACACAACACCAATGCAAAAAAGTACATAAGAATGCAAGCGATTATAAACCTTATGTTAACGATCTACCGCAAACGGCCTACCCAGCTCTTAGATGTGCAAAAACAAAGCAGGAATTGTCATTGGCTACAACCAAGATAAGTTCTTCCATCATGGAAGAGCTTTTGCAAGCAAAGTTGATGCCTTGGGAACAATGTAGCTCGTGATTTATGCCCAATTCCAATGGAAATGGATTGAGTCGGCCAAATTATTCAAATTTTTTTCCGAGTGAGCTCATCAGGCTGCGAAGAAACCCTAAACCCTAGCTTAATTTACAGCACAACGTTTCATTTGTTTTGGTACATATAGGGGAGCAAAATTCCTAAATCAAATCGATTGCATAATTTAATCCAACTAAACCAAAATTTAACATCAATAAAGCGTAGGAATTTTACCAACGGCGAAAGCTACAGAGTGTTGCAGACGATGGGCGCGGTGTCGCCCGCGGCGGAGCTGACGGAGGCGTTTGGAGAGTTCGGAGTATGGAGCAAGCTGTTGTACGACGGGTGTCGAGTGAGGTGCCAAGGCGTGGCGGATTTTAGATCAGTGGTGTTGGAAATGGATATACATTGAACCTCGGTAGTATCGACTCGGGCCTGGCGGCCCATGAATAATTTTTTCCCATTTGGATTACAAATTCTTGGCCCATTTTTCGAAACCTATGAAATTTACCAAGTGCTATGTCCCATTCATCATGTTCCGTGCAAACAACCTGAATTGGATTGTAGAAATAATTTTCTTTTTTATTACATTGGAGGGTTTCGAACTCTAGGCCTACTCCTGTCCACCACAATACTCATCTTACGAGAGATTTTCCTATGTTACTGGAACACAGCTCGATACACCACGTGTTATGATACAAGTGAAGGGATACCTGATGTACCATGTCGTTTTTCAAACACATTGAAAAATCTCTCCATCCTTACCAAAGATCCTAGTGGCTTAGATTGTAGAAATAATTGACAAAAAGAACATTTGGAATTCATAGTTCCACTATTGCACTTTTGTGTCAAATCACCAAAGCCATGAACCATACAAACACAACCCCAAATGTAGAGTAGGCCCTTAGGCTATATTGTTGGTGATAAAGAAAGTTTAACATGCATAGAGACGAAATATCAAGGACAAGGGCTTTGGGTGTTGGACCAACTGCTGTTTTACTTGGTTCAGAGTGGCATCAGGTTTGTCCAATTGGGTAGGCCCATGGAAATACAAGTTGCTTCTTTGTTTGTTTCATTGTTTGTTTTACTCCAAGACCAAACTAGGGCCCAAGTGAGGCCATTGCCGACTTGCAGTGCTAGATTTCAGTATTAATCGGAATACAGAGCAGTACGCTTCTATGGTATTACACGTATGACATATTGTTTCGTGTTTCGATCACACTGAAAAATCTCTCATTGTGCTATGTCTTGCTAACCCATCAGAGTCGTTGAGTGCTCTCACAAAATGAAGGTCAATTCAATGTGATACATATGTGTTAGCTTTATAATTAATCAATTAATCATGTTTGTTCTTCACAATCCATAGTTAATTTGGATTACTTGATACTATGGCAATTACTTACCAAGTTTTTGTGTGTCTGAGGCATCAAAATCTGGTTGAAATGATTTGAGAAGTGATCTGACACCACACTGTGGATATTTATATATTTACGTTGCTGCATCCAATTCATGTTTTTACAACTAATTCAAAAACGTCCTTTCAAACTAGTGATGATAAATACGAGCATGAAACTTTGTCAACCCCATATTTGTTCTTCTTTCCGCCTCAGAAAATATAATGCACCAAATTTATTAGTACGTTGCGTATGCGCAATATAATTTATGATAACGACAAGTCTTGTCAATTACGTATCTACTCTATTAACATATCAAAATTTGGTTCAACTGAACTAACTTTAAGTTGAACTCTACAAAGTGGAAGTCAATTTCACCTTGTATGATGTGTCTTTGTTGCTTCTAGTCCTGAATCACTAAGATCTCCTATTTGGAATTTGGAAAAGCCCCTCCAAAAGAATGGAAAATTTGCAATTGTATTTGTATAAAAAAAAATCAGTAATTATAATTTTCAATACCCTAAGTCCTAACCCTGAATTCCAAGACACATGCAAATAATTACTATAAAATATAGATTGCTTGCACGCAGATTATACAACCTAGGGTTTAGGGTCATTGCAATGGAGACCATTGACCCAATTTATCCACTGTTTTAAGGTTTTGGGTTTCAACGAATCAATTTCATAATGCAGTCCATGATTATGATCACATCAGATTGTGCTTCTGATAAATATGGTAATTAGTAAGTTCATTGATTTGGCAAAGTACATACGTAACTATAATTTCTGAGCAAATGTGGGTAAAAAGTTCCATCATTTTTGTAAAGGATAAAGAATTCCTTTGTTGAAAGTGGTTGTATAAGTGGAAAATTGGCATGGACTTTAGGGGAAAAATGGAAAATTGGCATGGACTTTAGGGGAAAAATGGAAAATTATATTGATGAGTTTGCACGAATTGAAGTTTCTGCAAGTGGAGAGAGAGAGGACTCTATATCGATCTCATTGATCATCCTGGGGATGGTGAGTCTGATGACAACATGACATGGAAAATCATTTTCACACATTTTTTTTTTCTCTTTTTACTTGTTTGCGTTTAATTAGTCTCTTTATCTTTATTAATTAATGAAACCTTCTTTATCAACCAAAAGAGGATGAAAATATAACTTAGTCTTCTATCACAATAAAAAAATGAAGGCAATAATGTAATTTCATAAGTACAAATTTTACTGTTTTTTATTGAAGCATCACCTATAAGTGATGTTAAAATATCTCTAATATTTAAAATTAAAAAAAAAAAAAAACCTCACACTCCCCCGACATTCTCTCTCTCTCTCTCTCTCTCTCTCTCTCTCCCCCCTCATTTTCTAAAAAAATGTGTTTATACACACAAAGTGTGTAGACAAATGCTAGTCAAATATAATAAAAACTCAACAGACAATTGTAGACAAAAATGTATTAACAAGAGAAACATATTGAAGGTGCATAAATCATTTTCCATTCTTCAAAATGCAGAGAGGACTATCGATCTCATTAATCAGCTAGGGTGGTCATGAGCATGGAATAAAATATCGATGATATCGGAACACTAGTAAAAAAAACACTTTGCGCGACGCAGGTCATTCGTCGCGCAAAGTAAAAAAACGTCGCGCAAAACTTTGCCCAACTCACCTTCGTCGCGCGCAAACCGTCGCGGCAAGGCAGTGACAGAAGGCTTTGCGCGACGCATGTACCCCATCGTCGCGCAAATCCACTTTGCGCGACGTAGGCTACGTCGCGCAAAGCTTTTTTGCGCGACGTAGAATGCGTCACGCAAATCCACTTTGCGCGACGACGGGTTACATGCGTCGCGCAAAGTGGATTTTGCGCGACGTAGGGACTTGCGTCGCGCAAAGTTGTTTTGCACGACGTAGGAACTTCTTCGTCGCGCAAACCTTTTTTTTTTTGCAAAAATTATTTAATTTTTAATAAATATTGTATTTTTTTTTTTAGAAAGAATAAATATTGTAATTAAATTCTAAACAATAATTAATAAACCAAGAAACAATATTTATTTATAAAATATATGAAAATGTACATACAAGATGTTCGAATATAAAAAATATAAAAAAAAAACTACAACAAGTAGCCTTCTAATCTTGATGCATCAAGCTACTGGGTATCGACTAAGCGAAGTGGTTGGGAGGTCGAAGGTGGAGCAAGATCAAGTGCTGACATCAAGATTTGGAGGCTGAACATCTGTAAAGCTCGTAAGATCATACTCATCTTCTCGTCCTGGGCCGAAAACTGGGTTGCAATCTCGCCTTCCTGGGCTTCCCAGGCCGAAAACCGGATTTACAATCCAATTCAAAAGAATTGGGGTTTAACTCCATGATGTCCATTTTCACTTTTGGGAAACGACCCACTAACTGAGCAAGCTAATTGAAATCTGAATTCCGATATCAAAAGTCAAACTACAAATACGCAACTGACCATAGAATCCAAGGGAGAAACTGCAGAGAGAAAGAAATAAAAAAGACTTACGTCTATCTCCAGTATTGTAACCCCTAGCTTAACAGATAAATTTTTCTTGAACACATTAAACTTGGGAGCCAAATCCTTTGCAGCAGGGCCACCATCAACACCAACTTATGTCACTTCATACATCCTCCTCTTTACTTAACAAAAACAGAAAATAATATATAATTTATCATTACTGTTTCCTATTCTCTCCACTTGTATTAGTAAAACTCTATCTTTAACCTATCTAGACGCTGATTCATAGAAAAGAAAGATTGACGGATCATCATCTACTTGACAAACTTATGAGTATTAATTCCACACAAGAAAAAACTGAGCTTACAGTGGCACACAGTTAAAATATAGGTCTGGATTGGACTGCATTCTTTCATCCTTTTCCTGATACGCAACATAAAACATTAGAACATCTTCTAACTGACAGAAGATCCATACTTACAAGAAATACAGCACATAGACAACTGACTCTGCGGTAGTTCTTACTTTAAGCACTTGCAGCATTTTGGTATGCCTTCAAAGATTGCAGAAGTGTTACATGCTATACAACTTATCAAGTATAAATCTTACTCAAATCCGAAGAACATAAAACTTTTTGAGAAGGTTGATTATGAGATTTTACACAATGAATTGCCATCCTTGACATCAAGAGTTATGGCTTCCTTGGCATGTTGAATGCTTTCATCAACAAGTTCTGCCTCATTGTCGGTACCTAGAAAAATGATGAAAACTTGGTAAGCATAATGACACACACATCATGAAAAACAACAGGAAAAACAAGTTGAGCGACAAAATGGTTGCCTTGAGCCATTTTTCTTTCAAGCATCGAAAGTTGACAAAGTATCTGCCTGTTTGGACCATGCCTCCAAACGCAATGCACATATCAATCATAAAATTTATAGTACAATGAATCGAGAGGTCACTGTAATAAAACTACAAAAATCTAATCAAGAAGAACCTTGCTTAAGGCAAGATTAAAGCAGTTCTTGGCTGAAGATAGATCTCCCTTCTTCTAAGTGCAGTTACCTAAACATAGTCAAGCATCTGCAAGAGATGGATTCAACTTAACCTACATCGCCGTTTATATTTCAGGAAGTGAACTGAAAGCATTACAAACATGCTCAACTACAGGAAGTCACAATGCATTCTTACATCCTTTGAGAGATTATCCTCTGCTTCTTTTCTATAGTTCGGTAAAACATCCAGTATCTTTCCTCTAAGATATTCGTATTTCGCACATTGAGCCGGATGTTTTCTTTGCTCTGGTAAAAGACACAGTGTTTTGAAACTTGAACTAATAAGATACAAATACAAGTGCAAAATAATAATAAAGGAATTAGCAGTGACAGCGATTCGAGAACACAATGTAGGCATTATCGTTACAGAAACAACACTTTTATCAGGGGGAGATTTTGAATTCATCAACTTTTTAGTCTATTTCTCAAATTTTAAGCTTCTATGTGTACCAATGTAGTCCAAAATTGGAACTTCAAAGTTGAAACGAGCATATCAACGAAAACCCACAAAAGAGAAAGGCACAAATCGGGTTTATAATAAAAGGGCACTTAGGTCAGCTTCAAATGGAATTAACAGAGATTAAAACGAAATGGGTAAATGGAAAAATTACCAAGAGGAATGGAATCGAGGAGGTTGAGGGCAAGATCGGAATCGATGTTTAATCTGGAGATTTTGTCATCCGGGTCGGCCGAAAAGTAGGTGTCTCGGAGGAGGTAAAGAGCTTCGACAGCTCTTGCGGTTTTGGCCAGTGCGTCGTCTTCCACTGCTCGACTGCTCATCGCTCAGACACAGTCGCACGCAGAGCCAACTGTGTGAACGAGAAAGGACTCTCAACTCCAAGTTGTTCTTAAGAGGAAACCGAAGCAAACGACGTCGTCTGGGTGTGGAGAGGGGAGATTGTGAGCTTGTGCTGTGTGAAAATAAGCAGGAGAAGCACTCGGCTCTAAGCGTGAGCGAGACGGAGTGAGAGAGAGGGCGAGATGAGCAAGAGGGGAGAGAGACCGAGCGAGCCAGAGGGAAGAGAGAGACAGATGGGCGGGTAGCGTCTGGAATCTTTTCCAATTAAGCCCTAAAAAGCGTTTATTTGTTTCAATTATACCGCCAAAATTTTAACAATTGCGCGACGCACCTATAAATTATGAGGTCGCGCAAAGTGCTTTTGCGCAACGATCACATTCTGTCGTCGCGCAAAGTATATTTCAAAAAAAAATATTTATTATAAAATTTACTAAAAATTAACTTTATTCTCCTTAAATTTTTTTTTTTACATAAAACCCACAATAATATATTTTTTTAACAAAATTTAGACCCAAGCTACAATAATAAATTTAAAGCTACTTAATAAATACACATACCATTCAGTTTCTTAAGTGTTATACATACAAAATAAATAAATTTAAATCTACTTAATAAATATATATATATATATATATACACCATTGAACTTGATGGGATACGCATTGTACAAAATTAGTTTCAATGATCCAACCGTCAAACTTGTTTATATATACTTCAAGATCACATATGCCAAAAATCACAAAAAAACAAACGTTCACAGATCAAGTGACGGGACAAAACTTTTCGACGGTTATAAACAAAAAAATCATGATTTAACGGTTATTTTAACTCTGATTTTGGTGATTTTTTACAGCTACACTTCTGGTTCCTATATGAATGCAAGTAACTAATTCGATCGTCAATTTAAAATATTTACACAAGTGGATACCACAAAATCTTATGTTATACTTGATGAAAGTATAAATAAAATCCAAGTGTTAGGGAATCTATCGTTTTAATGGGATACGCATTGTACGAAACTAGTTTCAACGATCCAACCGTCAAACTTGTTTGCATATGCTTCGAGATCGTATACACCAAAAATGGCAAAAAAAAAAACCTTCAAAGATTAAGTAACAGAACAAAACTTTTCGACGGTTATAAACGAAAAAATCACAATTTAACGGTTTGTTTAACTCCGATTTTGATGAGTTTTTACAACTACACTCCTGGATTCTATATGAATACAAGGAACTGATTCGATCATCAATTTAAAAATATTTACACAAGTGGATACCACAAAATCTTATGTTATACTTGATGAAAGTATAAAATAAAATCCAAAGTGTTAGGGAATATATCGCTTTAATGGGATACGCATTGTACGAAACTAGTTTCAACGATCCAACCGTCAAACTTGTTTGTATATGAGTCGAGATCGTATACACCAAAAATGGCAAAAAAAAAAAAACCTTCTGAGGTTTAAGTAACGGGACAAAACTTTTCGACGGTTATAAACAAAAAAATCACGATTTAACGGTTATTTTAACTCTGATTTTGATGATTTTTTACAGCTACACTTATGGATCCTATATGAATACAAGGAACGGATTTGATCATCAATTCAAAATATTTACACAAGTGGATACCACAAAATCTTATGTTATACTTGATGAAAGTAAGAATAAAATCTAAATGTTAGGGAATCTATCGTTTTAATGAAATACGCATTGTACGAAACTAGTTTCAACGATCCAACCGTCAAACTTGTTTGTATATGCTTCAAGATCTTATACGCCAAAAATGGAAAAAAACAAACCTTCAGAGATCAAGTAACGGGACAAAAATTTTTTGACTGTTATAAACAAAAAAATCACGATTTAACGGTTATTTTAACTCCGATTTTGATGATTTTTTACAGCTACACTTATGGATCCTATATGAATACAAGGAACTGATTTGATCGTCAATTCAAAATATTTACACAAGTGGATACCACAAAATCTTATGTTATACTTGATGAAAGTATAAATAAAATCTAAATGTTAGGGAATCTATCGTTTTTAATGGGATACGCATTGTACGAAACTAGTTTCAACGATCCAACCGTCAAACTTGTTTGTATATGCTTCAAGATCTTATACGCCAAAAATGGCAAAAAACAAACCTTCAGAGATCAAGTACCAGGACAAAATGTTTCGACGGTCATAAACGAAAAAATCATAATTTAACGGTTATTTTAACTCCGATTTTAATGATTTTTTACAGCTACACTCTTGGATCCTATATGAATACAAGGAACTAATTCGATCGTCAATTTAAAACATTTACACAAGTGAATACCACAAAAGAAAAAGGCAATGCAAGAACCCCAAAAGAAAAGCAAAAGGAAAAAATAAATAAAACTTTGCGCGACGTATGTACACCTACGTCGCGCAAAGCATCTTCGCGCGACGTAGGTATTCGTCGCGCAAAGATATTTTGCGCGACGCATGTGTACCTACGTCGCGCAAAGTTTTTTTTTTTTTTCGTTACACAATTTTAACTTCTTGTTTACCCCTTCCACTTCTGCCTAAAAATTATTTTTTATTAAGGACCTAAATGATGAGACCACGTGTTCTAAATGGTAAATGGTAGAGACTACACCTAAAATGATTACTAACCACGTAATAGAATAATGGTTTGACAAAGCTGTAAACTGGCAATTTGTAGTTTCCTCCTCCCAATTTGGTGAGAAATGAAATCTATCCATTTTTTAGCACACATCAATCTATCCCTAAATTATATCAAATTAACTGAGCAATTTGCAATTTCTTAGCTTTTGTTTCCCTAAACCTATCAAAATCCTTCATACTCTTAGTCATTCATTCCACTCATTCAATTGTTCAAAACCATAACTCAACTTGTCAAAAATAAGCATTGACAAAGATAATTAAAGAAAAACATAAATACACAAAAAAAAAATTCCAAACATACATGTAATCAATAAATAGTTAATTAATTAATCAAATAAATACAATACCTGAATGTGAAGATGGTGAGGCTTGAGAGAGATGGAGGGTCTGAAAGAGAGAGGTTGAGTGTGAAGAAAAAGGCTCTTGTGTGTGGTTATTTTATAAAAAAAAAAGTCGTCGACTTTGCGCAAAAGCAGCTTCGGCGCCAAAATCTTGGTTGAGATTCTTGGTTTGGCGGCAAAATCTTGCGCGACGCAAAACGTCGCGCAAACGGCTTTTGCGCGACGATACTTTGCGCGACAAAGGCTTGCGTCACGCAAATATGTTTTGCGCGACGTAGATGTACCTTCGTCGCGCAAAGATGTTTTGCGCGACGCAAGCCTTTGTCACGCAAAGTGTCGTCGCGCAAAAGCCGTTTGCGCGACGTTTTGTGTTTAGCGTCGCGCAAACATACTTTGCGCGACGAACGTTGCTGCGTCGCGCAAGTTTCCGTCGCGCAAACATGTTTTTGTACTAGTGGAAATATCAGTAGTCCAAAAACATGAAAATTTCTATGGAAATATCGGGATATTATCGATATCGATAAAAATTGAATAAAAACCACGGAAATTGTAAGAAAACCTTGGAAATTTTTATTGAAACTTTGGAGAATGTTTATTTAGTCAATTATCTATTAGTTTATAAATAAAAAATTAGAAGGAAATGCATTACATGATGGATTTAACTGATTTAAGTTGATTATACAGTGGCTGGCAAACACTGTGAGTGTAGAAAATATGTAGTAATTAATGAAAAAAAGATTAAACACACCAAAATCATTTATATATAATGATTTACTACAATATTTTACACTTTATACATTGCATGATAAGATACATAAGTGATTTAGTACCACATAAAGTTCCTATAAGGTTCAAAAAATTTACTATCTTCATCATCTCTATGTGTAGAGTAAGTTTATTGTGAAGAGTATTCATCAAATGATAAATCCCCCAAAATAGTTTTGCATGTAATTGTTAACATGTCACTCATATAAATATAAATATTTAAGCATATTATCACTAAAACATAAGTGATATATGGTGGTTACGGTGTTGGAGGAGTAAAATGGGAGGGGGTTCAAATCCCCTTTGTGTTTTGTTTCCTCCATTTTTTCCCTTTTTTTCTTCTTTTTCTTTTTTTTCCCCTTCCTTTACATCGATATTTTCGATATTTTAGCGATATTACACCGATATTTTGACAAAATATTGCTGAAGTGTGAGCGAAATTATCGACATCGATATTTTCCGATATTATCGTCAACATTGTCGATATATGTACATTTTTCCCTTTTTTCCTTCTTTTTCTTTTTTTTCTCCTTTACATCGATAATTTAGCGATATTACACCGATATTTTGATAAAATATTGCTGAAGTGTGAACGAAATTATCGACATCAATATTTTCCGATATTATCGACATCAATATTTTCCGATATTATCGTCGATATTGTCAATATTTGTACGATATGTACATGGATATGTTCCGAAATATCCGTGATTCGAAAAAATCGAAATATCCTCGATATTTCAGACTATGGTCATGAGTCATGACAAGTGACATGTTTATATAGGATTATATATGTGGCTGCCTTGCCCTAGGCAGAATGTTGCCTGTTGGGTGTGTGGTTTATCGCTGTTTTTGCCAGTTGTATATTAATTATATGGTGCAGCCACATCAGATGTTGATGTGGGATTTCTTCGACGTGTATACGCCTAACTTGGTTGCTCCACAATGCTCGGGTCCAGTTAGAAATACATACCATCATCAACACTTCTTGTCCATTCACTTTTCTCCTGGAAATTTTCTGCCCGCCATTTGCATATCTACGACCCAAAACATGCATGCATATTGTGCGGCTCAAAAACACATTGACCACATATAAAGCATTTGTCCAATAATTTAAGTTTGTCAGCATGAGTATATATTACTTGCACATATATATAAGTTAATGATCAGCATATATATGTAGGAACTGTATAAAGAAGTATAAATGGTATCTTATGATTAGAGGCGGAGCTATGAAGGGACCAAGATGCTCCCATATCCATCCTGACTTTTTTTTACGCAAAAAAGTTTAGTGTTATGCTTATGATTTTCAAGGTTGTCTGTAGGCTTAAGGCTCCAATCTGACGTTTTTACTTTGATTTCTTTCATCCGGTTTGATTTGACATTATCATATTGGTGGCTCCTATGGAGGGCAAGCAATCCGTTGCTTGTGAGCCTGAGAAGGACTTTGGTTTGCAATCAGTGGAGGGAGAGAGGAAGAAAGTTAGAGAGAGGCT